ACCCATCCATCCATCCATCCACCCATCCATCCGTTCTAGGACCTCCCCCCCCCCTCCCCAATTCCCTCTCACCGCTTCTCCTCCTCTGCCGCCGTTCCGCTCCGCCCCGGGCCACGCCGCGTATAGAACGGCAACGGCCGCCGCCACGGCCACGAAAGGTAGAAAAGGCCGTGGGCACCGCCGAGAACGGGGGGGGGAGAACCCCAGAACCGATCCCGGGACCCCCACCGGCACCGCGCCCGGACCGGGACCCGAACCCGCGGCCCCGCGGGAGCGGCGGGACCCCCCGGAGCCCTTCCGCATGGCGCGGGGGGCGGGGCCCGAAAGGGGCGGGGCTCGAGGAGTGGGCGGGGTTACGGTTGACGGGAGAGACGTTGATTGGACGAGGGGCGTGGCTTGATGTACGGGGAAGGAAGAGGAGCGCACGCGTGGTGGCGCGGGGAGCGGGCAGCCGTGAGCGCATGCGCACAGGGGGTGTCACCGTATCCAGGCGTCACCCGACGGGTTGTCACCGCTGTCACCTCTGTGGGATGTCAGCCCTACAGGATGGCACCCTGCTGAGATGTTTACCGCCATGGGATGTCACTCCAACGGGATGTCACCTCTGTAGGACATTGCCCTTATGGGATGTCACCCTTATGGGATGTCACTTTTTGGGGATGTCACCTTGGTGGGATGTCACCCCAATGGGATGTCACCCCAATGGGATGTCACCTCTGTAGGATGTTGCCCTTATAGGATGTCACCCTTATGGGATGTCACCTCTGCAGGATGTCACCCTTATGGGATGTCACTTTCATGGGATGTCACCTTGGTGGGATATCAACTCTGCAGGATGTCATTCTTATGGGATGTCACCTTTATGGGATGTCACTTTCATGGGATGTCACCTTGGTGGGATGTCAACCCGATGGGATGTCACCTCTGCAGGATATCCCCCTTATGGGATGTCACTTTGGTGGGATGTCATCCCAACGGGATGTCACCTCTGTAGGATACCACCCTTACGGGATGTCGCCCCAATGGGATGAATGTCACCTCTGTAGGATGTCATCCTTATGGGATGTCACTTTGGTGGGATGTCACCCCTGTGAAATGTCACTCCCAACAGTGATACCACCCAGAGCACCGATGTCACCCAGGATGTGGGTTCATTCCAGGCGGGATGTCACCTTGGAGCAGGATGTCACCCTAGTTGAAGATGTCACTCCAGGTCAAAACGTTGATGTGGATGGGGACATCACCCCAGTAGGATGTCCCGGATGGGGACACTGTCCCTGGCAGGACTCTGATGTACCCTATGGGGCTGACAACCCGGTGCCACCACTCTCCATGAGGACATCACTCCAGAAGGTCTCACCATTCTCCTCCGTAGAGCTGTCACCCTCTGTGGGGACGTCACCACAGTGCCACCCCCCTCCATGGGGAAATCACCCCATCGCCACCACTCTCCACGAGGACGTCACCCCATTGCCACCATCTTCACTGGGGACATCACCCCAGATGTTGCCATCACCATCCCTGGGGATATCGCTGCAGAAGGTGCCACCCCCTCCATGGGGACATCACTCCACAATGTGCCACCACCTCCACAGAACCGTGACCCTCCTTGGAGATCAACACCCCCAGAGAGAGCTCTATCACCCCAAAACAGCCCACCCACACACCCCACGGTGCCACCACCAACCAGCCAACCATCTGACCAACCCACCATCCAACCAACCAACCCACTATCCAACCACTCAACCATCCAACCAACCACCCATCCAACCATCCGACCAACCAATCAACCAACCGACCAGCCAACCAACTATCTGTCCAACCAACCACCCAACCATCTGACCAACCATCCAACCAACTGACCAACCACCCATCCAACCATCCAACCAACCAATCAACCAACCGACCAGCCAGCCAACTATCTGTCCAACCAACACTCAAACATCCAACCACCCATCCAACCATCCGACCAACCAATCAATCAACCGACCAGCCAACCAACCATCTGTTCAACCATCTGTTCAACCATCCAACCAACCAACCAACCATCCAACCATCCAACTATCCAACCAACCATCCATCAACCATCCAACCAATCAACCAACCAACCATCCAACTGACCAACCATCCATCTACTCAAAAAACCATCCAATCAACCACCCAACCATCCATCTACTCAAAAAACCATCCAATCAACCACCCAACCAATCAACAAACCAATCAATCAACAACCCAACCATCCGACCACCCACCCAACCATCCACCCACCCGACAAACCATCCATCTACCCAAACAACCATCCAACCAACCACCCAACCAACCAACTGACCAATCAACCACCCAACCAATCAACAAGCCAATCAACAACCAAACCATCCGAACACCCACCCAACCATCCACCCACCCACCCAACCATCCATCTA